ATTATAAATAGCTTAATAATATTACTATTAAGAACTAGATATTATTACTACTTATTAATAAATTAAAAGATTAATTATATAATAAGAAGTAATTTATAGTTCTTAATCTTAAAAGAGCTAATAATCTTATTTATATTAAGCTAGAAGATAAATAAAAGACTATCTTTTATATAAAGTATAGACTTTTTAAATATCTAATTATATCTTTTAAACTTACTAATATATTAATAACCTTCTAATAGATAATTACTAATATTATAAAAGTATCTTAATATCTTTATTATATATTATCTTAATAATATTCTTATCTTTTTAATATAGAAGAAGAATATATAAAATATATCTATATAATACTTAAAAAACTATAGAATATAAACCTTCTTATTAAACTAGAAAAAAGCAAGTTTTATATAAATAAAGTAAACTTTCTTAAATATATTATTTATTTAAATAAGATTTATATAAATTAAAAAAAATTAAAGTTATTAAAGATTAATTAAAATTTAAAAATATTAAAAAAGTATAAAGCTTCTTAGAATTTACTAATTACTATTAAAAGTTTATTTGTAATTTTAAAATATTAAATATTCTTATAGAATTTATAAAAAAAAGTAAAATTTAAATAGAATATTATAAAATATAAAAAGCTTTTAATAATATTAAGAAAGCAATTCTTAGTAAATTAATCTTAATTATATTTAATTTAGAAAAAGAAGTTAAGCTTAAAAAAACTCTTTTAATTTTAATTTAGAATTCTAAATTAAATAAAGAAATATTAATAGAAAAACTGCATCTAATTGCCTTTTACTTATATAAATTATATAAAGTAAACTTAACTACTCTATTTATAATAAAAAATTCCTTATTATAATTAACTTATTTAAGAAATTCTAATATTATCTCTTAAAAAGTAAGTATAAAATTAAGATTTATATTAATTATAAAAATATTTTATTCCTTAATAAGAAAATCTAGTATTTAAATTTACTATATTTTTATTATATATATTATAATTACTAAGGCCTAAGTTTTAAGTTTTTAAGCTGCTTTTTCTCTTCTTTATTAAAATCCTATTTAACTTTTTTAACTCTAATCTTAATAAATACACTATAAACTCCCACAACCCAACTTATAACTAAAATACCTCAAGATCCCCAATACCAATAATAACCTATTTAAGTTATTTAAATCCCCCCTCTAGCTAGCACTCTATATAGCTAGCATCCATACCAACTCAATACAATATAACAGCTCCTAAAACCAGGAGTTATATTAGGCCCCGGCAATATCCTAAAGGAAAACTTAACCCCTTAAATCAGAATTATTAATATTTTTGACCAAGTTATAAAGTATAATTATTTCTATTTGGATATATAGAATAAGATTGCAAATAAGAATTTGATTTTCTTGCTTATTAACTCTAGTCTTATTATTAAGAAGTAAATAGCATCTAAAAATAGCTAATGCAATTTATTAGCTTCTATTTAGATATTATAAATGGTATAGTAATAGCTTAAATAGATTTTCTTTCTTAAAAAAGCTTAAGAGGAAATTTAGCTTTTATCTTTTTAATTTATCTTCTAGATTTTAAGAGAATTTAAGATTATATTGAAGTTGGGATTTATAATATAGATATAATAAGTTATTTCTAGAAAGAGCTATTTAAGTGAAATTTATTATATTAAAAATTAGTTATAATAAGATAAGTATTAAAAGAAAAGTTAATTTCTTAATAATAGAAGATATCTTTCTTATATTTTATTACTTAAAATAAGATTATTATTTTAAGGTTATTAATTATAGATAGTAAGATTGTTAATTATAAATAATAAAATTAAAGTTAGAGGAATTAAATAAAAGCTTTAAGTAGAGATTAATAGGTAATAATCTTATTATTTAATTATTATTTCTTTTAATATTAGATAAGTATTTATTATTTATTTTTATTATTTAAGATTATTATATAACTTTAATTTATTTAATAATATTAAGTAAAGTTAAAAAAAAAAACTAAATAAGAATATTTTTATATTTTACTATTATTTAGAAGCTTAATAATAAGTAATTTTATTATATAAAATATTTATTAGAATTTAATTATATTATTATTTATAAGAAGAAATTAAAAATAATAAAGTTAATATTATTAGTTAATAACCTAACTTTAATACTAGTATTCTTAAGAAAATAAATAACTTCTTAAGCTAATTTTAAAAAGAATATTTTAAATAGAAGTATATTATATATTTTTAAAAATATCTAGAGAAATAATATAATATATATAAGATACTTAATAAAAAATAGTAAAAAAAGATTTACTAAGAATACTTATTTTATAATAATAATAATAGAATATTCCCTAATAAATTTAATTATTATTATAGAATTTAATATATTAAAATAGGTATTTATATCTTAGAAATTAATATTTAGCTTTTTAAAAGAAAGAATAAAATACTACTAAATTAAGAAGCTTATAAAAAGCTAAGCTTATATAATATTCTATTATAATTATATAATATCTAAGAATGATAACTACTATAGATAGTATATATAAAGTATAATAAGATAAATTAAATATATAATATTAATTTAATAAAAAAAGTATAATTATTAATAAACTTAATAAATAAATTCTTATAGTAATATATATAGTAAAATAGAAAAACTTACTATTAAAGAAAATCTAGAAGTATAATAATATACTTCTTAAAGAAGAATAAATAAACTAATTATAAATTTTAAATAAATTATAAGAATAGCTAGTATGGGAAATATATAAATATCCTTTATATAAATACTAGAATATTAATAAAATTCTTAATAAATTAAGAATAATATACTTATTTCTTTAAATAAAGAAAGTTATTTTAAATATTATTAAAGATTATAACCTATATAAAAAATTAAAATTACTATAATATAAGTTTTATAAATAACTATAACTACTATTAATAATATAATAATCTTAAAAATTTATTATTATAAATTATATTATTAAGCTTCTATTATTTAAAGATTTAATAATTAGAATACTTTATAATAATATATTTATTATTATAAATAAACTTATAAAATTTATATATTTTTTACTCTATTAAAAGTCTACTAATATAAAATAACTTTCTTATATATTCTTAAGAAATATTATTAATATATATAAATTACTAAGAGAAATTATATTTAATAAAGAAATAATTTTTATATCTAAATTCTAATAAGAATTAATAACTTAAATAAAATTAAAGTACAAGCTTATAATAACTTAAAGACTATAAGTAAATAGCTAAATAAAAAAACTTAACTAAATAATTAAGTAATACCTATAATATTATATTAACTACAAGTAAAATAACTAAATTTAAAAGTTACTTTAACAGTAAAAAGAGATAAAAACAACACTCAACTTATTAACTTACTCTAGGGAATTTATATAAAGAATTATTACATAGTTTAGCAGCAGGAAGGGACGGAAAACAACACCCAACTCATTAACCTTCCCTAGGGGAAATGCACAGAGAGTCGTCGCACAGGCGTCTTGGCCGGTCAGCCCGAAGCTGCACCAGATTACGCGTATGAGGTCGGATCAACCTGAGGCTTATGTCTCCTGATAGGGAAGCATCTCATGAGATTGTATATCGGGTCGGTCGCAGGAAAGTTCGCTGGCAAGGCATCAATGGGGCCTGCGGCAGACCGATATCTGAGGGAGGTTGAAGACGGAGGTTGGACAGGGAACGTAGTGATGGCAAGAAGGCTCAAATAAATCTCTCAAAAATGAAGGCAATCAATTAATAGACTCCCTAGCAGCCTCGAGCCCTTCCGGCCTCTCTGACTTCTAGGAAGAATCTCTGATGAAAGGAAAAACGATGATTTCCCCCAGTGACGGCACTGACCTCCCCTTTTAACCCCATCCGGGTCACCCTAGAGACATCCCCGCTAGCGACCAGCTAGCCCAAGTGTCCCTAACCGCCTGTCACATCCCTCCCCCGCGATCCGATGATTGTCCCCAATCAGGCCAGGAACGCGCACAACACAACAGCCTCCCCATTCAAGATTCCGACCAAAGAAACATAGCAAACATTAGAGAAGCATCTCATTAGAAGCTTCTGAAGACCAACTTCCTCCATTGAGGGCGACTCCCTTCACCACGAGCTTCCCTATCCATCACCATTCCAATCCACCGGAGAAAGCAGAATAGCACACCAAACAACCATCACTTGCGAGCCTCACGCTGACGGTAACGTTCCTCCCGACTGATCTTTGCAATAGCGGGAGGGATGACATCCGTGTAGGCGGCGTCAATCAGCTCCTCCCACTGGGAAAGAGAAATCAGACCTTCCGGGATATAAGTCGCGTAGGACTCGGACTTGGGCATGAACAGCGTAGGTCGTTTGAAAATACGAGGAAGGTTCATTCGGTCAGTGTCGATAGTCATCTTCTTCGCACCCTCACCGATAGAGATGTTGTCGTACTCGCTTCGTCCTTTAAGAATAGTATTATCGTCGAAGTAGCGAAGGACGGCTCCATCGATGAATTGGATAGCAGAAACAGTCGGGTCCTGTGGGATCTGGCAGCTTGACGACGTGGTGGGCTGGGCGATGGATCCCTCATTGAGACGTCACTCCTGGCGGACATTCCACGAACGTCTCTCATCGACACATCCGACCCAGCAGGCTAACGAGGACTTGGGCTTCGGATATCCCTCTCAATTTGGGATACTGCCGGCGACTTTGGAGGTGGCGATGGCGAGGCCCTGATATCCCTGACCCCTTCCATCAGGGAAGATACCGCTCCTCTCCCTGTCCCTTCAGAACGTCCAGAGGGCCTAGGAGAAGAGGAAGTTCTGCCGAATATCATTTCCATCTCCTCGATACCCCCAGAGGGTACCACAGGTACGGTCTCAGACGCAGGCTTAGGAGCTGTTGGCGATTTCTCTGGGACAGTCGAGCCCAGAGAGATAACACTCCCTCCCGTAGTCCCAGGTAGCTTAGGGATCCCCTTCTGAACCTCAAATCCTCTCTCCTTGAACATCTTGACGAGGTTGTCGGCCATAGTGAAGTTGACCTTTCGGTAGTCTGATCTGTACATCGTTGTAGAGCGGAACGTCTGACCAAAAGGGACAGCAGGATGAGGGACAATTCGATAGGCATCGGGGAGCTTCTTAGGTCAAGACTCTTCCAGCTACTGGGGAGAACCCACCAAGGTTGGTGTAGAGATCTGATGTCCTGAGTTTCTGGTCGGTAGTTATGAACCCATGCTCACAGTCGTGGAGAGGTCGATTTTTCGGCAGACCTCGTCCGTACCCTCGCTGTACATCAGGTCCCGGATCCCAAGCTCCTCCATGATGGCGCACCCAATGAAGCTTCTGACGCGCTCCAGATCCAAGTCCTGGTCCACAGTCTCCTTCTTCTTGGCGGCTTTCCCCTTCTTCTTTGGCTGGGGCGGGGGCTTTGGCTTGACGGCGCCGAGCTTCCAGTCGCGAAATCGTAGCTCAAAAGGGACACTTGCCGGCTTGTCGTTCGGGTCGTCGAAGACTAGTCTCTCCATTGGGATCCCTCCCTGCATCTGCTGCTTGTCCAGGCCAACCATACCGCGAATGGTTAAAGTTATGAGGAAGACCGCAAGAAAGCCACACTCCCAACCGTAGGACTGGGCAGAGGCTGGCATACCGTAGACAGAGAAGTCGAATGGGGCACCATTGACAGTCATGATCTCCCTCCAGGCAACCCCAGCAGCCCTGAATCGTTCCTTCCTTTGAAGGTCCATCGTATCGAAGAGGGAGAGTTGCTTTGCCCTAGCATCCCAGATATAGCCAATCCAATGACATTTATTGGTAAAGTTGATGATGCCAATAAGATAGCTGCAGTTGAATATGGTCTCTTGAATCGGTTAGAAGCTTACTGTAGGACGGTTCTTCGTAACCAGAATGCCTTCTTTTAGGAGCTTGGTCGAGAAGGTCTCTTTCCCCCATTTATTGGCTCGGAGGATATGGGTTTCGAGGTCAAGGCTGAAAGGTGCAATAGCTACAACATCCCTTATTCCGTAGGTCATGGTTCGTAGGAAAGCGATGAGACCAAAGTTGGCAGAGAGATCCTCGTACTGAAGCTTATACTGGAGGCCCCAGAGATCGCCACAGTGACCTTCCCAAGTCCCAAAGTTAGTCTCGCTGAAGTCGGGGTGCGGTCTGACAGTCTTAGCCCAAGCTTTGATTGATTTCTCATCCCCTAGGACAGGGCGTTCGGTCTTTTCCTCGTCCCAATGGGACCAATCCAGGCGGGAAGGATAGAGAGTTGGTTGTTGGCCGACTTTTTCGGTTAGTGATATCTTCGTAAGGTTCTCTTTGTAGTGGAGGAAGCTCCCTTTTCCACCTTCCCCTTGGATAGTTTCTTTGTAGAGAGTTAGTAATTTCGTACTGCGGTAGAATTGCACCTTCTCCTTCACAGCCTTATTGGAGGTAGCTATTGTATGCTGAGTTTTATGGTGTAGCAATGGATTCAAAAGTCGGTTGGTAGGAAGAAAAGCAACTAATGAGATAGTAGTCGAGGTTTGGGCTTGATAGGAAAAGAATTGCGGCGTGGAGGTGCGAGTTATGGCGTTGATTTCTATAGCAGCTGGAGTGTAAGAAGAGTGTATGGGTGTTGGTGTTTTCGAGAGACTGAGTATTTAAGGGTCTTTTGTGCTATGGGGCTTGATTCTCTTTGTGACGGTGAATCATAGAGATAGCAGTTGTTGTTTTCTAGACCTTCTTACTGATTTTCCTTTGTAAGTTATGGCAAATAAGGATACCTGCTTCTTGTAATTCTTATGCTTTGTAATAAAGCCCTGCCAGATTAGCCCTAAGGTAGGGTCCTTTGAGCTCGAAGCCTCTTTCTCTTCCATATCACCAATATTAGGATTTTAGCCTCATCCTGCCGCAGACTTCCCTTCTTTTTCTGTCATTGCGACATCGGGATAGCCTCTGCAATGGCATCTCTTCAAGACAAGCTAATCATTCTTTCCGGCCTCCCTCGAGAGAAGCTTCCTGATGTTCGTTATCTGGCTGAGTGTGGAGTCAAGGCCGATGAGTTCTCGCGACGGTCTGGTACCTTTTGGAAGGGTCGAGACGCCGTTCTCCTTTGCCCCTTTTCTTTATCGAAGCTTGATTTGACTCCAGCCTTGGTAAGGTCCCTTGTCTCCCTTCTGTCAGTTCAGGTTATCTAATGAGATGCTTTTCCAGGTCCTGAAGTCATTCTGGGTTTGGATTTGTGGTTTCCAGGCCCTCGACCGACTGGGCTGCCCTCTATACGTCGAGTTAGATGTCCAATTTCCTGCTACCGGCTCTAGAGAGGCCTTCCTCGTCTAGTTCCTCAAGCAGCTTCCTTTTTGAGACTCATCTATTACAGCAGGAATAGGACTTTTAGTTATCTGTACTCTCTAGCAGGTCTTTATTCCGGCAGACTGGGCTTATCCTAGAGGATACTTCTTTATAAATCTTCTTTCCTATTTATATCTTATTAAGGCTCTTATTGTTGCTTTTGTTGGGGTTATCAATCCAGTTATATGTTACTATTATATCTGTAGCTATCTCTTGACAACCATCCACTTTAACAAATATATTCTAACCCCTTTCCATGCCTATATTTTAGTCCCGGGATATATAAATAGGGTGTATGCTAATTGCCTTTAGCATAACCGGACTGATTGTAACTGGAAATGCCTCTATGAATATATAGCTTTAGGTTGTTAGGAAGGTTCTTGGAAATTTCCTCTTGGTAGTCGAGCTATAAACCCAAATATATCGACCTCTTATGCTTCTAATATCTTTAACCCTCATTCTTACCCTTGGATTATTAGCGAATATCCCTCTAAGGCTGGCAGTGCATCTGACCTTGAGATTTATCGTCGGGCTTTCTAGGTCTCTGCTTAGGCTCTTTGCAATAGGTACCGGGCTCTTTAGGTGGTCTTAATGGGTTTCTTTCTCTATTAAAGGGAAAAAAAAAACAGTTCCTTTTTTCCATTCTTATAGAATAGGTAGTTAATAGCAAATGCCTAGGGAATGATATTACTACTTAGTTAGCACTACCCTTATCTCTTCTAGATAGATTTCCTCTATACTGTTCCTCTTTGTTGTAAGGTATTGTTTATAGCAGCTAGACTCCTTCTAGATAGTTATTTTGTTGGGTCTTGGCTGTCTAGACTCTTTACGTCCAAGTCTCTCTAGTAACCCTATATCTTGCCTCCTCTATCCGCCTCCCTATATAGCAATACTACTATCCCCAGCCAAAGCTATATCCCCAAATATCTAATGAGATATTCTAGACTACTTTATACTGGTTTCTAGCCTCCTTACTTATCTCTGGGATGCAAACCTAGAAGTCCCTCCTAGATTCCCTCTATAGACAAAGGATAGACATAAATAGGCCTTATCTAATAAATCCTCTATCTTACTAAGTTGATATATCTTATCATAAGATAGTTCTTCTTTAGATTCTTCATCCTTATCTTTAGTAGGAGGTCCCCAAACCTCTATATTATTAAACTAGCCTACCACCCTTAATTATCCTTTATAAAGGCCTTGATCCGGTCCCCATAGCAGGTTCTAGCTATTTTTATACCATCTAGGGTCTTAAGAATATAGGTTCTAGTCTCCGCTAGAGCCTCTCGGATCCTGTAGGGTCCTTGCCATTTTGGCTTGAGCTTGGCTGCAGTAGAAAGATCATAGTAGTTTTTAATATTATAGAGAAGGATAAGGTCCCCTAGTAATAGTGGCTTTTTTCTTAGCTTAAAGACATTAGAAGTAGTTGTTTTTCTCACTAGGTTCTTCTAATATTCCTTAACCTTCTATCTGGTAGCTTCTCGATCTTCTTATTGTCTTTTTAGGATCTGGATTCGAGCTAAGATAATATCTTCCCTAGTATGGACCTCATCCCAATTAATAAGTCTTTAGGTTGGGATTTTGACTTCTATAGGGAGGATAGGTTCCTATCTATAAAGAAGCTAAAAGGGTAAGCATCTATAGGACCTATAGATTGTAGACCTATCTATAAATAGAGCCTGGTCTACTAACCCAATCTACTTCCCTAGCCGGCCGAGCTTCTTAAAATAATTAACTAAGAATATATAACTAACTTTAATTAGCCTATTTAACTTGGAATTATAGAAGGAGATCTTAGCCATCGTAATACCCAGGTTATCTAGCTTATTAGGGATTCCTTTTGCTAGCTTGCTTTTATTATTAGTAATAATCTTTATAGGCATACCATAGCAATAGAGGATTCTTTTAATAAACTTCTAGATATTTGCTGCATTTAGGGCCTTATAAGATATAGCTTCAATCCATCCCATTAGATTGCATCTAGCTTCTAATAGGAACTTCATTCTATTATTATTAGAAAGGTATTGTCCGTCGATATAGATCTTCATTATAGGATACCAAGAAGTAATAGGCTTAGCAATTTCTGCTAGTCTCTGGGCAGCGTAAATCTAATAAATTGGATAAGTCTTGATAATTAACTCCACCTTATATCTGATGCCTCACTAGAAATAGCAGCGGGAAACAATATAGATAGTCGCCTCTCTGTCTTTATAACCCCTATAATAGTAGGAGGTTATAATGAGATGCTTCTAAAGCTCCTCATCATTAATAATAAGTATAGGGTTATCTCCTAGGCTTAGTGCTCGTCTCTAGATGTAACCTCCGTAGATATAGAATTATATTGCCTTTTTCCTTAGTTGTAAGAAGTCTCTTACTAAGAGTCCCTCCAGCTGCTTTAGGGAAGTTAAATAGTTCCCTAGGACTAGCCATTCACCTATGTAGCTATCTTCCAGTTTCTTATCTTTAGGGCTAAAAAAAATAAGGTTGAGGCGGGTGTCAATCTCATCCTTAATATTGCCTTTAGCTTCTCAATCTAGAAGGTCAGAAGGTCCCTCCCCTTTCCTCAAAAGACCGTCGGCTACTGCATTTTTCTTTCCTAGAATATATCTAATAGTAAAGTCAAAGAGCAAGAGGTAGCTAATCCAACAGACGACTATCGATTCTGGTATATTATTAGCCTTATTATTAATCTAATTAATAAGAACCCTTAAGTTGGTCTCTAAAGTAAAGGGATATCTATAGATCTACATCCTCATACATCTAATAGCATAAAGAGCTCTCTTACACTCTAGCTTTGTTATATTATACCTCTTCTTAGCATCTAACTAGATATTAGATTTAAATCTTATAAGGTGATGTTTTCTATCTATTATCTGCATTAGGACAGCTCCCTAGTCTAGGATGCTGGCATTAATTATTAGAATAACCTCTTTAGCTTCTTTAGATAGGTCGAGAGAGATAAGGATAGAAGCTGTAATAATCCTCTTCTTTAATATCCTTATTACTTTCCTCCTGTTATCTTCCCACTTCTAGGGGATATTCTTCTTTAGTAGCTTGATAAGGAGCTTAGCAATCTAAGTATACTTTTCAATCTAGATTCTATAGTATCCTGAGATGCCTAGAAAGATTCTAACTCCAGTCTAATTAAAGTAATCTTCCCATTTAATGATTTTTAAAATCTTGTCCTCTATAGGTTTGCGACTATAAGTCCCATAAAGATATCCCACTAAAGGAGCGGCCTTTTAGCAGAAGAATGACTTCTTTGCAGCAATTAAATAGCCTAAAAGCTTTACATTAACTAGAATAGTATTGAGGTTTATTAGATACTCTAGGACATACTATCTGATACTAGGAAGGGACTCCTCCCCTTTATAGTCCTTAATAGGGCTCTTGATACTAATATTGTCTAGAAAAGCTCTAGCTATATTAGGCATTAGATCGAAAAGAATCCTCGTTATGATCCTAGTAAATTGGGCTACTAAGTTTATGGCTCCCTAAGGAAGGGTACATAGCCTAAATAGACCAATTGGCATTTAAAAGGTCGTTAAGTCCCTGCTTTTTACGTCCAGGGCGATCTAATTATATCTAGAAAAGAAGTCAAGGACTAAAAGGATCTAATACATCCCAAATTCAGTAGAGAAGTCTTCAATCCTAGAAGGAATTATTCCATCCCTAATGGTATAGACATTATACCTCTTAGCTAAGTTAATAAGATACAAACCTCTATCTTTCTTAGCTATAAGTATCTACTAATTCCTATAGGAAGTATAATTTTCTTTAATAATCTTATTCTTTAGTCTTTTCTTTAGTAGCTTAATAACCTTAGCTTTAGTTTTATGAGGGATAATCACATTACCACACTACCAGGCTGTATGGGGTGTGATTTTGATGACCTATGGGGGAGCGATTCTAGGGTCAAGTTCCCCCTTTTCCTTGAAAATCCAAGCTAGGGCTTCTTTCCAATTAAAGATAATTTAACGGAAGATTTCCCTCTTAATATTATTAAGGGTATTCTTAGTCTGCCCCATTAGAGCGTCTAATTTCTCGCTAAAGAGCCTTAATCCCTTCTTAATCTTTAAGAATTTGGGAGTAATATAATTAGAAAAAGAGGAGTCCTTTTCTAGGTTTCCTTTAACCTCATCCCATTTCTTATCACGCCAGAACGGATCCCCTTTAGGCGTAGATCCATTAGAAGGGATGTTATCCCTGGGCTAGATCTTATTAGCCTTCCTTTTGTATATAGTATTAACCCAGACTATTATATTCTCTTGGCTGCTATCTGGAGTGTGAGTTTTCTTAACTTTAGACTGCATTAAATTATTTTTTTTTATCTAGTTTTTAAGAATAATCTTAAAGATTTTTTATGCTGTCTTTTTGTTGATATATCTAATGAGATACTTAACGTCATCCTCCTCTAAACTGTAGATGTTATTGATAGCCGGTTTAGAGGGTTCCGGTATGCTTATAATAACCCCCCTGGTGTTGCTTCATTAATAACCGGGTTAACTCTTTATATTCCGCCTGTAACTGGAGATATTAGGTTGATAGTCCCTAGCTTGTAGCTTATTAATATCTCTCTAGAAATAGTACTATAATTAAAGGTAACCTTTGTACTTTAAAAGAAAGGCATTCCTAGGATAAAGGGGATAGAAACTACTAATATAGGGGCTATATACATCTTCTATTCTATAAAAATGTTGCCTATATAGATATTAGTGGTAACAATTCCAGCTATTGAAATTAAGTTTTTTAAGAAGAATATAGTCTTGGCTAAGCTAGGTGTAAATAGGAGCTGGCTGGTTTTAATAATATAGTCTAAGATAATATTATCTTTAACACCTATATCTAAAATAGCTTCTTAAATATAACCATTAAGATACCTAAGTCTCACCTAAAGCCTCGGGAGGTCTTAACATATTAACTATAGCTATATATTAATATTCTAGATAAGATTTGTAAAAGCCTTTATTATTATCTTATTAGGTGCTTTATAGTTAGACTTCCTCAATTCCTTCCTATAGGAGACCTTCTTTGTAGTTTTATCGTTTATTATAATATAGTCTCCTGGAGTAAGAATAGAATCGCCCTGGGAAGTTAGAGGGTCTTTTTCCTAGCTAATTATAACTGTAAGAACTCCATATTGCCAAGCCAAATTGTCGAAGTAGGTCTTAGAGAATAGCGGGCCGTCCTATATTACAAGCTCTGGCTCTTTCCGTCCCTTAAGAATGTTTATTTTGACATTCCCTGGCAGCCTTTTCTTATAGGAAGAAGTAGGGTCTAGCCAGATAGTATTGGTAATGCTGTTAGCTATA